TCTCCCAGTCCCTCCCAGTGCTCCCAGTGACCCCGCTGTCCCCCCCCAGGCCATGTGTCTCCAGCTGGTCACCGCCCTGGCCGCGGTGGCCGGCGCCGCCTGTTCCCTGCTCCCAGTGCTCCCAGTGCCTCCCAGTCCCTCCCAGTCCCTCCCAGTGCTCTCAGTACCCCATTATCCCTCTCCCAGTGTCTCCCAGTCCCTCCAGTGCCTCCCAGTCCCTCCCAGTCTCTCCAGTGCCTCCCAGTCCCTTCCCTTCCAAGTCCCTTCTGCTTCCCTCCAACTCCTTCCCAGTCCCTCCCAGTGTCCCCCACTCCCCTCCCAGTCCCTCCCAGTGTCCCCCACTCCCCTCCCAGTCCCTCCCAGTGCTCTCAGTACCCCATTATCCCTCTCCCAGTGCCTCCCAGTCCCTCCCAGTGCTCCCAGTGACCCCATTATCCCCTCCCAGGCCACGTGTCTGCAGTTGGTCACCGCCCTGGCCGCAGTGGCCGGCGCCGCCTGTTCCCTGCTCCCAGTGCTCCCAGTCCTTCCCAGTGCTCCCAATCATCCCGTATCCCTCTCCCAGTCCCTCCCAGTGCTCCCAGTGACCCCATTATCCCCTCCCAGGCCATTTGCCTGCGGTTGGTCACCGCCCTGGCCACAGTTGCCAGCACTGCCTATTCCCTCCTCCCAGTGCCTCCCAGTATCTCCCAGTCCCTCCCAGTGCCTCCCAGTCCCTCCCAGTACCCCATTATCCCTCTTCCAGTCCCTCCCAGTCCCTCCAGTGCCTCCCAGTCCCTCCAGTGCCTCCCAGTCCCTTCCCTTCCCAGTCCCTTCCGCTTCCTTCCAACTCCTTCCCAGTCCCTCCCAGTGTTCCCTGTTCCTCTCCCACTCTGTCCCAGTCACTCCCAGTGCTCCCAGTGTCCCCCACTCCCCTCCCAGTCCCTCCCAGTCCCTCCCAGTGCTCCCAGTGACCCCGCTGTCCCCTCCCAGTTGATGTGTCTGCAGCTGGTCACCGCCCTGGCCGCGGTGGCCGGCGCCGCCTGTTCCCTGCTCCCAGTGCCTCCCAGTCCCTCCCAATCCCTCCCAGTCCCTCCCAGTACCCCATTATCCCTCTCCCAGTCCCTCCCAGTGCCTCCCAGTGCTCCCAGTGACCCCATTATCCCCTCCCAGGCCATGTGTCTGCAGCTGGTCACCGCCCTGGCTACGGTTGCCAGCACTGCCTGTTCCCTCCTCCCAGTGCCTCCCAGTCCCTCCCAGTCCCTCCCAATCCCTCCCAGTCCATCCCAGTACCCCATTATCCCTTTCCCAGTCCCTCCAGTCCCTCCCAGTCTCTCCAGTGCCTCCCAGTCCCTTCCCTTCCCAGTCACTTCCGCTTCCCTCCAACTCCTTCCCAGTCCCTCCCAGTGTTCCCCGTTCCTCTCCCACTCCCTCCCAGTCCCTCCCAGTGCTCCCAGTGTCCCCCACTCCCCTCCCAGTGCCTCCCAGTCCCTCCCAGTGCTCCCAGTGACCCCGCTGTCCCCTCCCAGGCCATGTGTCTGCAGCTGGTCACCGCCCTGGCCGCGGTGGCCAGTGCCGCCTGTTCCCTGTTCCCAGTGCTCCCAGT